AGAAACATCACTGTGGAAGCAGTGTAGAAGGTGGGTTAGGAAGTTGTGATGTTGGAGGCAGGGAGTGCAGGTGACCTGGTTAAGATAGTTTTGATGGAAATGGGAATAAATGGATGGATCTGAGGCACGTTTAGAAGGAAGAATATATAGATGTGGACAATGAAGGAAATTCAGGCATCAGGGATGATACCTCCGTTTCTGGCCTGGACAACTGGGAGCAGTGATGGGAGAAAAGGTTGATGGTTAAGAGTGGTGGCTCTGAAGCCAGCCTTTCTGGATTTTGAATTCCAGATCTGCCACTGATTGTGTTACCCTGGACAAGTTCCTTAACCTCTCTGTGTCTCAGTTTCCTTACCTAAAAAGAGAATATTAACACTACCTTCCTTATAATGATTACGTGAAATAGTATATATAAAATGCTTTAAACTGTATCTGGAGCATAGAAAATGTTAGCTATTATAGGCAAAAAGGAAGAGGAATATGCTTCATCGGAATGATGATGAGTTCAGTTCTGAGCATGTCAAATTTAGGTTGTCTGTGGGACACTCAAGTGCAAATTGGTTATATGGATTTGAGGCTCAGGAGATATTTGGCTGGAAATATGACTTTGAGAGTTATCAGTTTATAGATCGTAATTGAAACCTTGGGAGACGGTGCAGGGAGAATCTGTAGAGTGGGAAGAAAAGAAGGCCTAGGAACAAGCCCCAAGAACCCTCAACATGTATAGTGAGAGGTAAAAGAGTCTAATGAGGAGGCTGAGCAGCAACCAGTGGGGCAGGAGAAAAATCAGGAGAGAGCACAGCATCATACTAGCCAAGCTACAAGAATGTTTCAAGATGGAGGCAGTGGCCAATGGTGGCAGTGCTTTGGAGATGTCAGTATAAAAGATCTGGTAAAAAGCAATGGGAGTCACTGAGTATGGCTTGGAGAAGGAGAGTGAACAGAGAAGGAAGAAAGAAATTGTTGACGAGACTATTTTCGTGGAGTGGTAGAACTGTATGTCAGACTACATTGGGTTGAAGAGTGGGAGTGAGGAAATGAAGACAGCAAGTGTAGACAGCTCTTTCCAGAGGTTTGTCTGTGAAAAGGAAGGGTGAGCAGATGATTGCAGGTTATGGGGGTAGACAGGGCATGCTTCAGTGCTGATGGGGAGGAGGCTGACAGTAGAGGAGACAGTTGAGGCTTGAGGTCCCTGAGATGGTGGGAGGAGATGGAACTCACAGAGTGGAGGCCAGGGTGGAGGTGTCAGTCTTGGTTGGGGGTAGCACGAGAGGGAAGGCAGAAAGTGTGGATGCGGTGAGTGAATGTGCAGATTTGATTATGGGAAGTTACTGACTGATGCCTTCTCTCTGTGAAATTGACTGAGAGGGATGTGGCAAGGCTGGAGATTTGTAGATGATAGAAGTGTTCAGAGAGCCACTGGAAAAAATGGAAGAGAGAGCCCAATGGAGACTGAAAACAAAAGGGTTGCCCAGCTGTACCAAAGGCCCAGTATGTTCATAGTGGTTCCCAGCTGCATGGTTGGAGTATTTTCACCAAGGAGTGCCTAGCAATCATGGAGCAGGAGCAGAAAGGGTAGATATTTGGATTGATTTAAACGTTACTTGGGGATTTGCAAGATGGAAGAAGGATAGGCAACGGGGTAAGAAAGGTGGGGATGTTGGCAAGGGAGTTAAAATGATTGACTCATAATTCTCCTACTTTCTGATTCCGAAGCTCCTGTTCCTGCTGCTTGTAACTTCTCTGTTTCCCACTCCATAGCTTCTGCTCATTCAAGGCTCTTATACTGCCTGCCTCACGGCTTCTGCCTCGTGTGTGTGTGTGTGTGTGTGTGTGTGTGTGTGTGCGCGCGCGCCTGCTTTTGCCCTCATTACTGATTGAAGGTCCTCTCCCTGTCTCACGTTCAGAATCCACAGGAAAGACCATCTGAGTGATTCTCTGGGTCATTATATTCATGTTTGACTGATAAGTCAGGTCACCCCTTAGACTGCTGGCCAACCTATGGGTTTTCTGCCCTGAGTCAGGGATCTATGTCTGGTACAGTCAGCGTCAACATCCTTCAGAAGGTTTTGTGGGTAAAACGAGCAGAATGGTTAAGGGGCTCTGGAACCAGGTGCCTAGTCTTGAATCCAGGCTGTCCCACTTATTGTGTAAAGTAACCTTGGGAGATTTACTTCATCTCTCTGATCCCCAGTTTCCTCATTTCTAAAGTGGGTTCAGTAAATATACCTGCCTCATTAAGATCTTTGTGAAAATGAAATAAGATAGTACTAAAAAACACTTAGCAGGTTTAGAAAAGACATTAGGGGAGACAGGATCTGAACTCCACCACCATTGAATGAACACAGTCTTCTTTCCTTCACATAAGCTCTTTACCATTTTCTGGTGTTCTGACCTTTCTTCGGGGAATGTTTGTCACCCTGTGGGCTCTTCTGACCTTTCCTCAGGGAATGTTTGTCACCCTGTGGCCCCCAAAGCCTTTGGAGTACTGAGTCTGCCATGAGCTGGGGATCGAGCTGCTGGGTCTGCTCATTGTCAGCTTGGGAGGAATCCTGGCAACCAGGCCTCTCCTGCTCAGTCCTTGGTTTCTATGAGTCATGCTCCTCTTATGCTAAGCCCAGCTCAGATTTGGAAGGGGGCTAGGGGAGTGGGGGTTGGATGAGGGAAGGAAAGGGAAGACGAAGGCAGCAATTTAGCCTCTTTCTGAGTTTCTTGGTTAGCTCCAGTTATGGAACTCTTTCCTTAGAGCTCTATTGAGGATTTTGAGGCCCCACAGTGACCACACTGCAATGTGGGGGGATCCTTCACCAGGTTGGTGGAGCCCAAGATGCCTGATGTGTGAGCAACCCCTCCCCAGGCACCCTGATAGTCAGGGCATCTTCTCTCCATCTCTATTTTCAGTACAGCTTGACGCAGACGGGTAAAGATTTTTTTTCCCCTAAAGAGAATTAAATTGCTGATGTAAGGGAAGGGAATGTATTAAGAGGCCATTGCTCAGATATCGGGCTCCTTGAAATGACCTGGTCCCTGATGACTTGTGTCTGAGCTGGTGTTTTCCTAAGGGTGGTGTTTAGGTCACTAGTGAAACATGAAATAATTTCAGATGGTACCTGGCTGGACATTTTTTAACTTTGATAGTTACGCATTCATTTTAATGTATTTTAGAAGAAAAGGCAACTAACATACAAAACTGGTGATTTCAAGGGTATTATTGTTTAAATAAGTCATGCTAAAGTTTTAGAAAAGGAAGTTTATTTAAAGAAAAATACTAAGTGGATAGTAGCATAGGTGTTAGACATGTAGCAGAAGTCATGAAGGCAGTATACAGATGACTGAAGTTTGGGAAAGAGTGGTCTTAACCAAATTATGTTGCCTTTTCTGCTGCCTCTTTTGTCCCCCATGCCCAGACTTGGGATGTCTGTGTTGGGAATTGTCTAATAGATATAGTAATCTGTGTGGCTAACTGTCATCTGAACAGGTCAAAGTCAAAAGCCTCATCTCCCTTTCTTGACTTTCTGGTCTCTGTCGAGGGCTCTCATGCTCACTCTCTCTCTCTCTCCCCACACAGCCTGTGATTGGTAATATCCCTGGGACCCCTCCCTCTTCATTTTTGACACTGAATCTTGACCAAGTCCTGTTAATTCTTCCTTCAGGGTCTCTCTCCCTCTCTTTTTTAGAGATAGGATCTTACTATATTGCCCAGGCTGGATTCAAACTCCTGGCCTCAAGTGATCCTCTTGCCTCAGCCTCTCGAGTAGCTGGGACTACAGGCACATGCTACCATGCGCATCTCAGAATATCTCTTGCACTGTGCTCCTTCTGACTGTCATCACCCATTTGAATACCACAGCCTCAGTCTGTACTTCACCATCCAATTAATCTTCCTTAAGCACAACTTTCACCATGAATTTCTCCAGGATTGATTTTCCACTGAGTATCAGATCATGGCCAAACTCCTGAATGAGCAATTTTTAGCCCTTGGACTATGGCTTCAGCCTAATACTATCTGCCCATATCTCTTGTTTCCCTCCTAGGACCCATCTAGGTCTTTACTGTTCCTCAGATGTACTCTGCTTACTTCCAGCTCTAGCTCTTTTCTATATAACTTGCTAACTCTGAGGCATTTGGGGGGGGGGTCATCAGTTCAGGAGTCCAGTTCAGTTGAAGTTTAAAAATTGGGAGTTGAGGCATCCAGTAATATTCCTTCTTTTGCCATGAAGACAGAAGGGTTAAGATAGAGCTTGAACTTAAACTTGGGTCTTTAGCAGGCTACGTTCTGAGTGTGGAAAGAGAGACTCAGCCTCTGTGGGCCCACCTCACTCTGCCTCACTGCTGAGAAGACCCTTTTCTTCTCTCTCACAGCTGACAAAGCATTCTGTTGGAAGACTACACTTCCATTCCAGAACAGTGTGCGTTACTGTGTAGAGACCCAGTGTGAGTTCCTTCCTGAGGTTTCTTGGCACTGGCTGTGCTCCTGCACCCACCCCCCACCCCACCACAACCCCCGCCGTTCATCATCCAAGGTTTACACTGTAAATATCTGGATGGGGTGAAAAGAAAAACCAGACCTCCGACTTGGGGCTGGTCTGCTGGAGGCTGAGCCAAGGGTGTGTTGTTGATATAGAAGATAGTTCTCTCCCAAGAGTTTACTGAAGGAGATTATTTTTGCTGGTTCAGGTTTTCCAGCTTTATTCAAGAGCCTGAAGACAG